GCATCTATTGACCTAACTGCTGTATTAATTTTCGCAAAACGCTTTGGAATATGTCAAGGGGGCTTTGAAAATCAATTTCCACGAGACACATATTTGCAGTTTGTATTGGACAGCATATGTGAGCGATTTATAATACTTGAGACTAACGTGCTTTTTTATTCGGGAACAAAAAGTATCAATATATGGCTACCACTTTAATAAAAACAAAACTGAATACAAAAGCGCTAATGACTCCCCATGAAATGCATTCGTCTACCAGAACGCCTTTTCAGTGTACCTTCAAAGCGTTGTGTTGATGGTCACACTAAGACACCTCTACCATTTGTAGTAGTTTCACAATGTTTTCTGGACGTTCGTGGGCTTTCCTTGGAGAGTTAGAGCGAATGAAAGAGACTTAACGTCTGAAGTGATTGACTTCATAGTTCATAAAGCCGCTCCTCTCTTGTGTGCTTCTGTCGTCTGAGTGAGCAACTAAATGCGGGATAATTAGGGTTAGACGAATTTTGCGGAATGATTAATATTTTTATTCTGCTGTAATTGAACTCGCAAGAGGAACACCGCTATCAAATTAAAAAGTTGCATTATTTTCCAACTTTACAGTGCAGACATCTCCAGGGCTTTCGCTATGAAATTACAAAGCAACGTACGATACAAAATTTAGAAGCTATTAAAACAAATGTTTTGATACACTGATAAGTATGGTTTGCTAGTTACAATCTTTATTGCGATTTATTAGCAGCGGCTATTCTATACAGAGATAATGCCAGTGGAAGCTGCACTCTGCAAATTTCGTAACTTGAATGTCGTTGGAGGATTCGTAGCGTTACACCAGTAAGCTTGCAAGTCATGACGGTACACTACCGTTCTCCGTAGCCTACTGGCACAAATTTCCTTTGCTGAAACCTCATCGGGCTAGCTTCATTGTGTAGCCGTGGGTAAGCACAACTGACGTGTCTCTGTCGAACAAGGTGGCTGTTTAGTACATTTCCGTGTATTTTGTGGATTGTTTGTATTGTTGACCAATCAACTTGATAAATATTACTTGTAAAGTCCGCTGCTCAAGAGTATTCCGATTGCCACTGTAACAGTGCAAAAGTACGTTCATTTCGTTATTCCGATGAATTTGGACAAGTCGAATAGACGTGAATAGTCATTTTTAGAATCCTTTCCGCTCCATTTGGAATACAGTCACCGTCAGACAGATACTGGAATGGTTCTCCAACATAGTAAGCTAACCACTATGTTATTGTTTGCTTTGGGACCCCACGTTGTTTTATAAGAAATAATATAAATCGGGATGGATCTAGTACCGACTAGTCAGAGATGAAACATGCTTGGATGGAGCCCAGAACTTGCATCAACACGAAGTAATGAGGTACCGTACGCGCCCGTGAAAATCCTAATAACCAAATATTTTTAACTAATTATATGCGTACATTAAAACAAGTACAATAACATTTCATTGAAAAACAAGCACTACATGCACTTTAACACGTTCATTAATCACCGAAATTCCACAACATCGCTTTGGTGGCTTTGAGGAATTTGGTACGATTATATCGGTGTCAGTGTTGCGAGCAGCAACCTCGAAAAGACTACACTAACTGCACCCTTTTGATTAGATTCACAAGCTTTTTCTTCAGGTAACTTTGTCCATATACAAAGAATGTTTTGTCCGATCATGATCAAGATGCTAATTAAACGAATACCAACCTTATGTCAGATTACGTTTGGAGTCGACTGGGCTTATGATTTTAGTGTTTTGAATACAAATCGGGTCCAGTGGGATTTTATTGTGGCTAGCTTCGTCCTTGACGCAAAGGCTTCTTCAGGACTGGTAATTCGATACCCAACTGGCTTAGGGTTTCACAAATTTCTTGAACTGCATCCTGTTTCCTTGCTTTAGCCTAATAAATTACATTTCAGTACTTGTGCTATCAAAGTCTGGTTTAGTGGAGTTTGGGCCATGAGAGATTATGAGACAAACGATTATTATTTAGAATCGCGGAGCATATCCCGGTGTGGGTCAATAATCACATTTCCATCCTAGCCCCATCCATCACCCAACTTGCGCAGCCAAAGAACGCAAGTGTTCAACCTTTTCAGACGCCTGCGTCATCCATCGCGCGTCATCTCCTAACCGACAAATCGCGTACGTTCAGTGTGATCTACGCATCAAACAACACTCATGTGCTACGATACACAGAGGCGGTTGCAATCAAACAGCTTGACCCTACTCTGTGTGTGCGGAAGGACGCGTTCCTCACTCTGGCTCTACCCTGGTAGTAAGCCACTAGACAGCTGATGAATTGACAAAGACGTGTGTGCACTTGTATGTGGGTGTACGTATGTTGATGAATTTGCTATTTCAACTATTTTAACTCTTCATAATGCTATTAATTTTCACGTGTTCTGTAGTACGCAATTGATAATGTGCAGAGAAATTTGTCCGCAATTAAATCATGCGGTGCTTCGGTGTTAACGTATTTACTGACTATTAACTAATAATAAGCACTTACAATTTTACGATTTGCTCTTTTGTATAACTGACGCAATTCAGAATTAGTCTGCTTCTAATGTAATTAAATATCAGTTTATAAAAATTTAAAATTTCTTCAATATCTCGGCAGGTTGCCTAAGGCGCAAATATTCTGATCCTGTTTGTTGACATAAGCACACCAGCGAGTAGCAACTGGTGACCGAATGATAACAGGCTTTGTTGGGTCGATACTTACAATACCGAAGCTGACTTTGATTTCACTTAATATTATTGGTCATTTACAGTATATTTCAAAGCCAGGGTTTACGTCGTATCTGCTGGCGTCTTCCAAAGATATGGTTAACATCTTATCACCTTTTACTGTTTTCACAGTGCACCTTAAGTAAAACTTGGCCTGGTGCTTTTGGCGATTTAATACTCGTGCCTAATAAATACAACCGTATAACTCAGTTTGCCTGTATCAAGAAGACGGTCAAATTTTAGATAGCTGACTATGCACCTAAATTGAGTACTATGGAAAATAAAGAACATCAACAGTACGCCGGCATACTGTACAGACGTTTCTCTGCCACGCCACCACCATCAGTCGCGCGTGGGCTGAGTAAATCGCGAGGACGCCCGCTCCTGCGCGGATTCGAACCGATGACCTAAGGAGTGCAAGCCAAGCATGCAATTATTTCGGCCACCGGTCGACTAATTTGAATATCAACCATCGTTGACAGCACAAGGTGCTGGGCCGAACGGCAAGTTAAGAATTACCCATTGAACATGCACAAACAATGGGAATAAATGTCGCATAGGGAAGTTGACGCCAGTAGATTTGTGGAACATCCTGTATTGACGGAATGGATTACAGTGCGAAACCTGGCTCAGTTCATCAGAGCCGAGCTGTAGCAGAATAGACCAAGCATGTGACTTTTACTCCGCATACAGTCGATCGCAGTTAGAGTTCTTTGGAATGAATTTTCAGTACGCAAGACCGCATACAACCGTTTGTGCTGAGGCGACAATAGATCCTCAGAACAAGGTACCAGCGTAGTGTTGCTGACTTACCTCAAACCAAGACACTTTGGACCTTGTCTTGTTTAATTTAACAACTTTTGCTGCAGACAGTGATGAAGGCGAATTTTTCGGAAGATGATTAGTACCAGGTTGGCTATTTACATCCACGTTGATGTTCACTTTAATAGTGACGCAATAATAAAGCAGAAATCGAGCGTGCACTGTTGCGTCTTCCTTAGATTGGTTTTGCTAAATCGGTTACAGATGAGTGCAACTCCAAGTCTAAATATCGGGATCAAAATAAACATAGCCCATCAGATTCTTTGATTTAATGATAGAAAACCTTAAACATTTGGGAAGCTTATATGTGAAATTGAGATAGAACAGAGTTCCAAAACCAGGTTGTCAATTCTGTCACCCATGAAAGCTTGTGGTTTAGTAAAATAGCCAGCAGTGATTATTCTTAATCAGTGTGGCTATGTACGTTGGATAGATTTGCTTCCGATAAAGTGACCACCGTTGATAACCATATTCCTCTTATGGATAGGCCACGCAAGCCTTGTGACAAGTTACAAGATGATAAACACACAAAAATGGGCTACCAACTAACGGTTGTTATAATAATATAGTAGCGGATTCACACTCAATACATCGGAATAGTTAAGCACTAAACTCATCTAATAGTATTTTCAGAATACTTTGCCTATATTTTAATTTTAAACGTGATCTTGGAGCGTGTCACAGATGCGTCCAATACTCTAAGACCCTCTTTTCATAGTGACCCCCAACTTTGATTATTGTAGCACGATAATTTGGCTGTCTTGATAGTTTGCAAACATAAGGACATTAATTATTTTTACTGTGCATCATATCAAAGTCATCTAGGTGAAACCATCGTGTGTGCCAGCCGTTTCATCAATTTAACAATGGTTACTGGACGTCATCATTGTCATAAGGGATTTCCTTTTCACAGCTCTCTGTAACGGAGGCCGTTTCGTTGCATTCCTTGTTAAAATCCTGATGCAGTAGTTTAATGCACATTCACTCACCAGATTCTGCACTGCTTTTGCGATCGATCACCTTTCATGAACTAACACCGAGTAATAAAACCCTTGCAATTAGCAATGCATCCACTTTAACATGCAATCGATGGAGGCACTAAACGAATATGTGCTTCACAATGAAGAGCAGGTTAAAGGAAATGGCTTTCTCTTCACCCAGAAGCGTTCTATCCTGCGGCATAAAAGTTAATTTAAGATCATGTTTATCACACAAACGGTACAAGGTTTAAGTTACCGTGATACAGCGGCAATGGAGATCATCTCAGATCAAAACTACTTGTCCAATCACAAAGCTGATTACAGGACTGATGATGGATGTAAAGTGGTTGAATCAATATTCAATTTTTTTTGTCAAAACATGATTTCCAATACTCGGTTTTCGCTTCCCTATCAAAATGACGGACTGACTTCAAACAGTTTTATTCCACTATGTACAGAGTCAAGCAAGTGATCCTATTTGGAGAGGGTGCAGGCGCAAACATTTTGGCACGTTTTGCAGTAAGTTCATAGTAAAACTAATCGTCCTTTTAGCAATTTTTATGCACACCAATATGTTGCTGCTTGTCTGGACGTTAAATACTTTTTGTCATCTAGTGCGCGAAATCAGCCTGAGACTCTCTGAACACGGGTGTTCTGATAAGCGGGTTATGGCAAACATGCATTTTCTGCTACTATTCACACAGCGAAATAGTGCACTGTCGCATGGTTTCAATTCCAGGTCGTAGTTGACCTCATCCGTCCACTTGAATGAAGGCATTGAATAGCACAGAACACAACGGGACCAGCGAAGTCTTACTTTTGCTTTCAAAGCTAGCCTTTATGTCCAGGGTGTGCATACTGTTATGGACTTTGCACTGAAGGACTTTTTAAAATGCACCTTGGTCCAAAACCCAAGAAATTTGCCGCTACATTTTGCTCTGTCCTCTCATTAGGTTCATCTAAAGTTTACAATAGAAGCCGGCCAGCTTTGTTGACTTTGAACCCCGAAGCATGGTTGACAATTTTGGGAAAAGAAGTAGTCTCTCTAGGTTTAAGTACCTTGTCGATTTTTATAGGGCTGATCGGATAGTTGCACCACGTTGTTAAATCTACCAAACTATGCTTAAAGTATTTCCTTTGTCTTCTAGGTTATAAGTGCAACGCTTATTCTACAGAATTTCATGTCGTGCGCGGAGCAGAAGAGGACTGCAACTTAGTACAGTGTTTCTCTTCAACCACGATTAAAAAAACAGCAGTACCGCCTGGTATTAAACGAGTTTCAATTATAACCGCTGTATGACACTTAAGGTCACCATCTGAACAATTAAGGGTTATGGTAGAAACTTTTCAAGCATGTGGGTACAAGCTCGATACTTACTTGCACTTCCACACCTTCTTTGGTTGCTCTAATTACAAGTCATGTTACCTGCTGATTAGTGAGTAGTAGGGGGATTAATTAGGTTTTGGTGGTTTCATCACAGCTACACTCAGACAGACAGACAACACACATCCAGGAAAGCGCTAGACGGCCGTTTCGTTCTATTGGGACTCGTCAGTAGCGTGCACCCGCCGAATCTTACCAGATTCGAACCCACCACCTTACTCTCACGAACCAGCGACTTATACCACTGAGCCACGGATAACGACGGTGGACCTCCATGACCGATATCTAAGTGGGACATAGCGCGGCTTATCCTCTACTGTCATTCGTGCTATGGACGTGCAGAGGATGGCTATATCACAGCCATGGCGGTCCGCTGCGTCAACTATGGCTCAGCGACATAAATCGCTGGCTCATAAGAATAAGGTCTTGAGTTCGAACCTGATAGGATTCGGCGAATGCGACCTAGGGACGAGTCCCAATAGAACAAAACGGCTGTCTAATGCTTTCGTGGATGTGTGATGGCTTTCTGCCTGATTCTTAGGTTACTTAGTTTACTTGAAGCCTATGGACCATGTATGACCTATTTAAATAGCTTTCCATTAAATGCTGTTAAATATGCGCTTAAACACAGTCTTGCGCTATATTTTAACAATACAGTGGTCTCAACCACGGAATAGCAACAGGCGTGTTGCGGGTTTCGGCCCCACAGTAGTCAGCTGAGATGCTCACTGCTGACGATCCCCAAAGGGCTGGAATAGAGTACAGTGCTTTTACGGACGTTTGATTGCTGTCTGACTTCCTAAGCAATCCCTCAACCATTCATAACGCCATCAAATTCACCCTTAAGGTGGTCTTTTACTGTCAAATTGCAGTAAATGGACGTAAACCCTCCTAAAAATGCGTACTGTTTGTTGTGTGACCAATCCCAAATCGACCGATGGTATACTAGATGATTACACGGAGTGGGATGCGATTGACTGAGTTAAGATAAGTCACTCAATGAGCAGTAGTATTTAGGGGCAATCACACCCGTTGGATGCAATTTGATAGCCTTAAGGACCGTCTTGAAAGATCTGCGGAGGTACATTATTTTCCAAACAGTAGGGTGCAGTTGACTGAGAAAAGGTATGGATTAGATGAACTTCTAGCTTCTATTCCAGTGTTTCTATTACTCCTTTGTAACAATTAATACTTGTCGGCTCAAAGCTTGAGAGTGACATGAATGGGTCTTAACCGATAGGTTCTTACGTATGTAGCACAATATGACTCAAAACAAGTGTGCGCATCTATTTGAATGCAGGCTGCCTGCACAGTATCGCTTGGTCAATGAATTTGTCTATTGGTCGTCTACAGAAACCTCCGAATCCGACTGGTCTCACTGTTCTAATTTTAGCTGAACTAGCTTAAAATCGGTACCTCAATTTTTTGAAAAAGTGTACATTCGCCTGCAATTGTGGACAAATTCGTATGATAAAATTTGTTAGTTACGAGTTGTTATTTCTTTTGTCTATTTTACCCAAGAACATCTACATGAGTTCCGTTAAAACCAGTGGTACGATACAATGTATGTTTCGTTACTTTTGTAGCGCTATCAAACTATTTGGTACTTCTCTAGAGAAACATGCAACAGTCACTAACGCTAACGAGTTCAATATATGAAGTCGGCGCAGATCAATGGTATCAATCTTTGACTTGCTAAATTTGGTGATCGTCGACCACTAGATTATTGTGGGGAATGTTAACCAAAACCGATCAGTCGGAAATACGCTTTAATGTATAAATGAGAGTTGAATTTTCACAAATGTACTACTGGTACTGGGCCTTGTTTCATATGCATTCACAATGTGTTGGATCTCAGAGAACGTAAGACCTGAAAGCTCAGCTTGTAATCACCACTGCGTTCTATGTGCCCTCAATTTCATTTACTCCATGAGTCATGTTTCGTTTTCCACTTTTCGCGGGAAAGCAAATTTTAGCAATTACAGTTGAATGAATGAAAGTCATAAACTGTGTATTTCTCGATTGTGCGGAATGCACTCAAACTAATAGTGTGTGCTAATCGTGCAGCCCTGTACTCTGTGCTTAATTGGACTTATCCCATCAAATTCTTGTGCCATCTGTTCGGAATTACGCGCAATCCATCCGGATCACCGTGGTCTAGCCAACGGGATCTATATTTTCCAAGTAACTCCAACGACACGCTGATACCCGATGTCTTCCGAAGTCTCTTCACTAAGACCAACGTATGTAACTGCTTATTTAAGTTTCATCGGTACTTTTGAGATACCATTCGACAGAGCTTTTCTAAGACTACCAGACAATATATAACTTACTACTGTGCACCACTGTGTAACATAGCTACAGGCCTTTTTGTCGTCTCACCTTATCACCGTATTGTTACGTGCATTTCACTGCGCAAAGACTGTGTGATTACTACCTGTTCGCCTGGTGACGCACCACTACCAAATCGGTTGACACAGATCCCGCTGACCGGAGCAGACAACTGTATGTATGTATGTAACCTCAACAGTCTATTAACTAGACATAGAGCCAGAATAAAACCATGGAGATAAGGAGATAAGCAAGAATCATCGCGTCATAATCATCGTGGCATGCTAGTTGAAGGTGAGCAACACACTTCAACTAATATGCCGAAGGAAGAATGAAACATTTTGACAAAAAGTAGAACAAAACATTTTTAGTTTGTTTTCACACGCCGCTTTTGCTCTTTTTTGTCAGTTTAATGTTGGTAGTATTAAACATGTGAATCAGTGCAATACTGTACACAATTCTTCCATTGATTCCGGTTGCGGGCCATGTCTTCTAGTGTGTTAGGCCATTGGCACTCCTCATCTTTGGGTTTCCATCCTGGAAGACGTACGGATCCAACAGCGGCTAGACACGACGTCAGCGATTTCATGTGCTGCCAGCAAATGGAAGGCTGACCACCAAGTGGTCGCCTCCAGCCAGGTCCTTGACGAGCGAATAGAGCGCGACGCGGTAGACGCTCAGGTGCCATGCGTAAGAGGTGACCGCAACAAAACCAGTTTTTTGGTGGGAATACTCGCATTCCCCAAGATGCGACGTCGAACGTCATTTTTATTAACTCGATGTTTCCATCAAACACGAGCGATCCTCCTTAAGCAACCGGCATCGAAGGCAGAAATACGACGCATGTCTTCCACGCGAATCGGCCAGGACTCGCACCCATACAACAATACTGAGCGAACTGATGCGATGTAAACGCGGCCCTCTAGTGAGAATGAGACGTCACGACGACGCCACAAGTGCCTCAGATTGACAAATGCCGATCGAGCTTTAGCGATACGAGGAGAAACATCTTTGTTGATAGTGCCGTCAGCAAAAACACAGCTCCCAAGGTAGACGAAATTATCTACCAGTTCAAGTTGTGCACCTACGAGAGTGAGTACGGGAGCAGGTGAAAGCCAATCCTTGAGCAGTACTTTACACTTCGATTGGGCGAAGCTCATGTCATACTTATATGCTTCAACCACCAAACGATCCAGAATGAGTTGCATACTCTGAGGATCGTCACCGAGTAAGGCGATATCATCAGCATAATCTAAGTCGATCGCGCGCTCACCCGGTAAAAGCTCCAAGCCAAAATGTTGGAAACCTTCCAGAGCATTCGACAGAACGTCTTTGGTTGTGAAGTTGAAGAGGAATGGGGACATAAGGCAGCCCTGTCGCAGACCACTATTGACAGTGAATGGCGAAGAAATCTTGCCATAGACCCTCACTCTGCCGGATGTATGAAGGTAAAGTGCTCGTAAGATGGCGGTACATTTCTCTGGCACCCCGTTCTTTAGTAAGCAACGCTATAAAGCAGGTCGGTCAACGGAGTCAAAAGCGGCACGTATGTCCAGAAATGCAATGATAGTGGGCCTGTGATAAATGTGACGATGTTCGAGGAGCTGGCGGAGCGTGAATATTTGATCCACGCATCCGCGGCCAGGACGGAAATCGGCTTGTTCTTCACGGTAGTATGATTCACGTACTGGGGATAGTCTGCGAAGCAGAATGGATGCCAATAGCTTAGAGGCAACCGAAATAAGACTAATCCCGCGATGATTTGCACATGAAGTGCGAGCGCCTTTCTTGAAAATCGGGACAA